GCTGAAAGTGCATCTGCGCCGACGCATTGTCCAAGCGTGTCTTTGAGCTGGCAAGCTGCAACGCGCCATCGACATCAAGAGGCAAATGCGCCTTCGAGTTATCGTCAGCACGCGTGGTCGCCAAGGCATCAGCTTCACCGTCTTCGTTGGGGCGTCAACCCAAAAAAAAAGCTGCGCATCGCGAGCGCGCGCGCGCGCGCCATCCGCCCGCCATCGGGTGGCCCACCTGCGGGAAGAGAGGGCCGGCAAGCACGTCGCATTGCAGCACCCCGCTGCCAAATCGCATCGGCGACTGCCCATCTGCTGCTCGCGCGGACGCGGCTGAATGGCGGCGCCGCCGGCGGAGGAGAAGACGGCCCTCTGCCATCGCAACGCAATCGATCGCGGAATGCAGGACAGAGACAGGCGGGCTGAGGAAAGCGCTGGCGACGTCGTGGAAACTGATCGCATGCGACTTCTTCGCCTGACGGAGTCTACTGGTGAGCGCATGGCGTTGGCAAATTGCTGCCTAGCGGCTCCGTGAAATAATGCGCATATGGGCGATCGGCGGAATGTTTGGCTCGTCTCCACGGGTGTCCATATTGCGGCTTGCCCAGGGTGTCCAAGGCATGAGCCAATCGGAGGCCCTCGGCTCCCATCTTGCGTCTGCTTTGGGTAGGTTGGCATGCTTCGCTGTGATGCCGAGAGACGGGCGCGCGTTGGTACAACCGTATACTGCGTAGCAAAAAGCCAAAACACGCGCTTAAAATTCGGATCGTCAAAATCAAAGTCGTTCTCGTCCGGGTCCCGGGCAATATTCGGGCGCGGCAACATGCGACGAAAATTCGGCGGGCACGGTGCCTGGAAGAAGAGCAGTGCGCAGCTTGGCGCGCAGGACCTGCATCGAGATGCCTCGGAGATCCTGACGAGCGGCCCCCAGCGCTCGGCGACGATGCTCGGGGTCAAATCTGCGACGGGCGGGTGTACGCGGGCGTTCGTAGTACCTGGCGCACTGCCCCCTTCAACGCCCGAGATGTGCTGCGCCTGAAACAAGTCCTCCGACTTGGAGGGCTCCGGGGCTGGCCGGTGATGCAAACGCCTATTGGGTCCAAATCTAAATCCCGAAATTCGGCGAGCAATCTCTGGCTAATGGAAAAATCTCTATCTCGACGAGGCTGGTGTGCATGACGAGCGAGTTCACCATCATAACGACAACGGTTTATTTTAAACCAAATTTGCACGTGCTGGCGTCGAATTTTAAAGCGCACTCGGAGAAACCAGGCCTTGAGCATATACTGGTGGAGCAACGACGAGCTGTGCCAATCAGGCGCCATGCGGACGATATCGGGATCTGGAATAAACTCCTGGATGATTTGTTCCGCCTGCAACACGTGCTCGATTGCCTCGGATGTCTGCAAGGATCGCTCCCAAACCCGATTCGCGGTGACGAGCGTCGCAGGGGTGCGCTTGAAGCAATCGGCGACCATGGGGGGACGATCCTCAGGGGTGGGGGGTTCTTCAACATCAAAATCAATATCCAAAAAACTGTTTTTAAGTTCGCCCGTAGTTTGCTCATCAACCTGGCACGCTCGATGTGCTGCACGGGCCACCTGGGCCTGGTGTCGACCCCACTTGAAACTTTGCGATTGAGGGGCCATGGGGACGGAGGGAATGGTGGATACAACAAACACTGGGTATATGATACCGCTCCCCTGGAGCCGCCATGTATTGAAGCGCGCGGCCTTTCCGCTCCAGTACTCGGCACCACTGAACTGCTCCGAACTGACTGTGGGACATAACAGTATCCTATATGTGTGACGCTATAAAAGCACCGTGACATGCGAGGCCACCTCCAATACTTGCGTTGACAGCGCAACAGCCTCGTCGTTCACATAGCCAGCGCAACTCCGATCCATTAAAGTGTTCGCGTTGTGCGGTACGTGCCCCAATTTCCAGGCCTGGAGCACGCAGCCAAACTCGGGGAGCTGTTTCTCGTAGTCCTGTCCAGCCGTTGACCCCCCCGAACAAAGTACAAAACGTGCGATGTGGTAACGGCGATATGTATTGCTAAAACCATAGACATAGACGACGGGCCTGCCTGGGTCCAGCATCTCCTTCGGTTTCCACATACATATAGAAACATATGAGCGTGATATCAACGTCCCCCCAGATGAGCACGGATGATGAACAGGTGACCGCGGAACTCGGATGGTGCGTGAACACGCCGTAGCTGATACGCTGTGTGAATGCATCGACTAATTCCGATGACAACTCCGCAATGTTTGCTTGGTTTTGTGCCATCGCGACCTGCATGTAGAATCTATGCTCAGCTTGCGGCAAGCACTGCACCCCCGCGGGGTCAGGCTTTGCCGTCCCCGCCAGCCCGACGAACTGGTAGCTGTCAAAGGTGCGCGATAGCTGCTCGGGTCGGCCTGCAGGGTACCACACCATAAGATCGTAAGAAACCACCCGCCATGGCATCGGAGGAACAAAAACAATGAAGAGCTGTTCAGGGCAGACGTCTAAGCTGTAGCCATGGTTGGAGAATCACCTGCGGCAACACCGCCAGAGAAAAGGCTGGGGCTGCCCCATAGCGGTTAGCTGACGTGGCAGCTCCGGAGGGCTTCCCAAGGTCTCGCCATCGGCTCTGGACATGCTTCTTGTGGTGTTGACGTCTGCGCTGGTGCGGGGGAGGATCCCAGGAGTTCGTAACGGGCGATGGTCCCGAGCCCCCTCAAAGCCGCCTGGACCAGGAAACCTGGCATGCGGCAGCGCGCGCGTCGGACCCCCTCCAGACGGCAGACTTTCGCGCGCGCGCTGTCGACGGTCAAACCGCGTTGTTGCTACTAGAATCCGAGATCTCGACGTGTCGGGGAAAATTCTGTCCGTCCTGTTGTTCCACGCTCCCGGGACCTGCAACAACGGCGTTGTTGTTGGTAGAAGCCGAGGACCCGATGGTTCGGAACGGGGCAAACGTCGGGCACGCACCCCACGGAACCACAGGGCGACCTCGCCGAGGCTCCGCGGGGGCTCCAGGACGCTGACCTCGACCGCCCGCAACAATGGTCGCCCCCCTCGGTGGCGCAAGATCAGAAAAGTTCAGAATGATCGAATCCACGTGTCCCCTCAAGGAGGCACAAGAAAATATCAGCCAGCGTTGGCTCCAAATAGATAGGAGGACAGGAGGAGGACGAGAGGAAGATGGGAGGAGGCCGAAAGGAAGACGGGAGCAGGACGGGAGGAGGACGGGAGGAGCAGCATCAAACAAGCGCAAGCAAGCAAGCGGAAGCAAGCAAGCGCAAGGAAGCAATAAGAAGCAATCAAAAACCAGCGATCAAGTGCAAGCAGGCAAGGGCAAGCACGAGCATGCAAACGAGAGCAAGCACAGGCAAGCCTGTTTGGAGAATCTCGCGCGTTGGCCCAGACAATACGGACGACACTACCCTTTTGTTCTGCATGGTGCGTACTACACCGCTTTTGCCTTTTTACGCAATGTTGTTGGGTGGCGATCGACTTGGTCCGTGCCAGACTGAAACACGTGACGTGCACGTGCAACTATTCCCTTTTTGGTTCTTGGCATTTGCGCGCCAACCCGGCCCTTGGGTGAGACCCAGCTCTTCCGTCCTCCCGACTGGTCCCGAGGGAAGCCAGAGCACGCTGTCACGGGGCGACACTCCCCCGAGCCCGCAACGGCGGCGGCCACCAAAAGGCTTGACATTCGGGGGTGGCGACGGCCGCCATTGCCGAAATTACAAGCAGCCCTTCTCTCTTCTGCAGGGGGTGGGGCGCGCAAGGGGTGGATAGCCCAGGGGGGGGGGGGGCGGGCACTGCACGCATTCGCAGGGGAGCCCCGTTGACGACATGGGCGCTCGGAGCCCCTGGATAGACGCACCCCTTCCCCCCCGCCCCTGGGATGTCCGGCCCTGTTGCAACCGCCGATCTACCTGGGCCTCGAAATGATCGCCGCGCGCCGGCGCGCGCGAGCACAGGGCGAGGATAGGGCGCGCGCGCGCCGGCAGCAGCAGCGGCGGCGGGAGGCAGCAGCCGCAGCAGCAGGGAGCAGAAGCACAGGTGCAAGGAGAGAGGCATAAACCTGCCTCGCGTCACCCGCCGGCCTCCTGCTATAATCATCAATCCTCCTCCCTCGTCGCTTGCCTCTCTTCTGCCACCTTCCCTCTATTCTACATTCATCCCTGCTCCCAGCTGCCAACCCCCCGTCGTTCCTCTCGCTGCTCTCCTGGTTTGTCCCTCTCGCAAGCCGCTCCTCGTGCGAACTCCGAAGCGGCAGATTCTGGATAAGCGGCGTTCAACCTTGAACGCGCGCGCCCGGGTCGCCGCCGCGTCGACACGACAAGAACCTGCCGTAGCCTTGCCTCTAATGCCAATGCAGTCAGGCAGCGTCCTAATACCCCCAGGAAGAGGGCGAGGAGGGAGAGGAGGGAGAGGAGGGAGAGAGAGAGAGAGAGACAGCAGCGAGGGCGAGGAGGAGAGAGGAGGGAGGAGAGGGCAGGGGGAGGAGGCGAGAGCAGGAGGGAGGGGAGGGGGCGGAGGAGCAGCGATCCCGAGACGACCCTCCGCGACCGCACTGGAGCCGTGGCGAGCGCCCGCGCCGGGGGTCCGCCGCCGCGTCGGCGCGGGCGCGAGCTCTGCGCCCTGCGTCGCCCTGCGCGCGCGCGGGCCTGCGGCCGAGTGCTTCGCTGCGCCCCCCCCCCGCAGATCACCGGACGAAATCAGCAACGCAGGCTCTCGCCATCATTCGGACGTCTACTCCGTGAGCATTTTTCGGTATCGTACGTGTATTGTTTCGCGAGGTGCGCAAGATTGCTCCTCGATGGTCCTCGCCGAGAAAGCAATCACACGTCCGAGCGATGCCAAGGGCTGCTGCCCTGCACGCTCTCGCTGCGCACTCTCGCCTGCAGCTCCGTCCGCCTGCGTCCACCCGGTGGCAAAGACCACGGGCACCCAACTCGTGGCTTGGCGAGTGCCGCAAGCTCCACCCCAAGAGGCATCCGCCCGCGGGCCTGCGCCCACAGAGCGCGCGCCCGACGTGGCGTCGCGGTACGCGTCCCAGTCGCCGTGCTTGGTGCCGGTGGCGGAGGCGCCTCGCACGACGTTGGCGCCGAAGGCCGCCAGTCGCCGACGTCGTGGCCGCCGACGGAGGGCGGCGTGCCAGATCGCCGACGATGTGAGTTTGCCCCCCCCCCCCCCCGGAGGGCCCCCGTTCCGGGCCGCTCTCTCCTGCAAGCCTCGGTTCACCCCACATCGTTGCTGCCCCCCCGCCGCCGGCCGCTCGCCCTCAGCGGGCCGTTTTCGGGCCCGGGGGCCGTCAAGCACAGTTCTGGGGCCAAAGACTACCTCTTGGGGGGGAGTCAACAGACAAAGCAGAAGCATACGGATACCGATGAAAAAACCTGATCAAAGTCTCTTTAGGGCTATAGGGCTATGGGACTGTTGGGCTATAGGGCTATGGGGCTATATGGCTATGGGGCTATAGGGCCATAAGGCTAGTGGTCTATAGGGCTATGGGGCTATAGGGCCATTGGGCTATAGGGCCGTAGGGCTATAGGGCTCTAGGAACATAGGGCTATAGGGTCATAGGGCTATAGATCTATAGGGCTATGGGGCTATGGGGCTATGGGGCTGTAGGGCCATAGGGCTATAGGGCTATAGGGCTACAGGACTCTAGGGCTCTAGGGCTCTAAGGCTCTAGGGCACTAGAGCCATAAGGCTGTAGGGTTATAGGGATATAGGGCTATAGGGCTATAGGGCTATGGGGCTATTGGGCTATAGTGCTATTGGGCTGTATGGCTATAGGGCTATTGGGCTATAGGACTATAGGGCTCTAGGGCTCTAGGGATAGAAGGCTGTATGGCTATAGGGCTATGGGGCTATAGGGCCATAGGGCTAGTAATATATATGTATATATATGTGTGTATATATGTATATATATGTGTATGTATATATATATATATATATATATGGCTATAGTGCTATTGAACTATAGGGCTCTACGGCTATATGGCTATAGGGCTATGTGGCTTTAAGGCACCTGGGCACCCAGGCACCCAGGCGGGCTGCGGAAATCGGTGACACACCTCACCCAACCATATGAATCCGCTGGGACCCGTACAGAGGCAAGCTCTGATTTGAAAAAAACTCGGAGGTCCGCGCGAATTTCTCAGATCGGCCGATCCGACTTATCGATCGCTGGCCCCGGCGAGGCCGAGCCTCGAGGTCTCCCCAGGTGGGGTCTGAGCAGGTGGGGTCAGCACCGCCTCGCGAGTGCATCGGCAGGGTGGCCCGATGTGAGGAGTTCCAGACGGGGCCTCGCCTTCGAGGGTCGAAGGAGTTGGCATCTCTTCCTCGACGGAAGGCCGACAGACGTAAAACGAGGGCGGCTCCGCCCGCGGAAGCCTGCGGAAGTAAAAGATGCGTTTTCACAAGATGGCAACATTTTCGGGTTCAGGGTTGCCGGAATCGGCCACGTAGGTGGGCAGGTCTCGTCGCAGAGGGTGACCACCTGAAAACTCCTGGAGGGGAGAGGGGGCACTTGTGATCCCTCTGGTGTCCGCTGGGGCACTGGCCAGCCCCAAAAAGAATAACAGGATTCCTGGCAATCCTGTTGCTTCTAGTATCGGCCGGACCAGCTGATCTCACTGAACTCCATGTGAGGCAAACGGAGTGGACTGGGGCGAGGGTGACGGCGGACAACGATTAGAAGGCGTAGGCCCTTAGCCGTAGACGGACAAGGTGAGAAGCGATGGGCGTCAAGGGGGATGAGCAACCGCTGACTGCCCTCACTTTGTGCTGAGAAATCCTAGCCGAAGCTCAGGCGCTACACCCTCCTGGCCCTGAGTATTCACGTGGGGCTCGCCCCTTCCTCAGGCCCTCGTCTGGGCGGGTCCTGGCCACAGTTACGGATGAGCCCTCTGCTGCAACATCGCCCATAGCACCCGCCCTGTCAGGAAGGAGGGGTGAAGGGATGGTTGGAGGAAAGGGGAACTGGAGGAAAGAGGGGAGGCAGGAGGGGGATCCCCAAGAACCCGCTAACAAAAAAAACCTCTCTCGAACCCTCCTTCCTCCTCCCTCCTCAGGACGTGGGCCCCGCCGCGGCGGCGACCAGACGGCAGCGAGGGCTCGGCGAGCGCTGCGGCCCGCCTGGCGCTGCAGGCTTTCGCAGTGGCGGCCGCGCTGCATGACGTGAGGATGGGAGGCGGCGATGCAGACTGGAGGACCGCGGAGGAGCAGCTCGGGGAGCACCTCACGCGCCTCCCCGAGCCAGGGGCAGCTGCTCGACCACCTCACGGCGATGGTGGTGGAGATGCGGCGCCGTCCGCCGCGCGGGCTGCGGGCGCTGCTGGCGTGGGCGCTGGTGCTGGCGCCGCTGCCTCAAGTCCTGGTTCAGGCAGTTGGGGGCAGCCTGCGAAAAATTGCCCTAGCGACCAACGCAAGGTAGACTCGGCACCCCAGCTGGGGTCGGCCGAGAAGGGTCGTCACCACGTCACCGACGAGGTGAAGGAGATGGTGTCGGCCACGAGCGACGGCGACGTGCTGATCTTCGATGGCGGGGACCTCAAGCGGTGCTGCTCGCCCGAGGCCCCTTGGCGAGGCGAGCGGCGGCGCATGCTGGAGGCTGAGGTGGCGAGGCCACCCGCGGCTCGGCGGAGGAGGGCCACTTCGCCGCCTGGCGAGCGGCGGACCCAGCGGGCGCGGCTCGACGGCCAGCCGCAGCCGCCCGCCCGCGCCCCGAGTTTCGCCGAGCTAGTGCGGCTGGCGGCTGGCGCACAGCCCGCTCGGGGCCGCAGCGCGGCGACCCGCGGGGCGGCCTCACCGCCTGCCGCCGCCGCGGCCGCGGGCTCCGCCGCCTGCGGGCGCCTGGCTGAAAGCACCTCCGCCCCCGTGGGCGGCTGAGGGGGGCGAGCCGTCGAACGCGGCCGACCGGACTCGGATTCGCCTCCTGTCGGGAGGCTCCAGATTTCTCCTCCTCCTCCTCTTCCTTCTCCTCCTCCTCCTCCTCCTCACCCCCCCGTTCCTCTTCCCCCTTCCAACCTCCTCCTCCTCCTCGTCATCGTCCTCCTCCTCCGAGGACGGCCACGACGCCGACCAGGCAGCGCCGAAATCTGAGGGCGCCGCCGAAGCGAGGTGCGGCCCGGGAGACAGCCTGCCAGGCGTCGCCACCTGCCACCCCCGGCCGTGAGAAGGGGGACGAGGGGCCTCCTCCAGCCACCTGGTCCGGTTCCTTCTCCTCCTCCTCCTCCTCCTCCTCCTCCTCCTTCTCCTCTTCCTCCTCCTCCTCCTCCTCCTCCTCCTCGTCCCCCGACATCAAACTAAGGAGCGGCCCGAAACCCACAGCCACTCCCGAGCCCGACACGGTTCTTACTTCAGCGCCCTGATCGTATTGCAACATCGCTGATGCACATTCGGCTTACTCGTGTCCTCCCCCTCCTCCTCCTCCTCCTCCTCCTCCTCCTCGAAGACCAGGACGGGGAGGAGGTGGAGGAGGTGAAGGAGGAGGAGGCGGAGGAGGAAGAAGAAGAGAACAACGACGACCACCACGACGAGGACGAGAAAGGCAACGAGGAAAACGAGGAACACGAGCAGCAAGAGGAGGACGGGGATGGAAGGATACGACACAGACGTACATATGTACATATGTGTATATATATATATGTATATACTCGAACCGCGCGCACTTCAGGAGCGTCTGGGGCCGTCGTGGCCACTGTTTGGACTGAAAAGCAAATATACCGGAGAAAACATCTTTTTCAATCGGAAGTGCTTGACTTGTGGCATTGGGGGGCCTTCTCGGCGGCCTCTTGGGCCGCCTTGAGGGCCTTTGTGGCCGTCTAGGGACAATCTTGGGCTGTCTTCGAGCGTTCGTGGCTCGTCCGGGGGCCATCTCACTGCGCTCTTCAGCCATCATCCAGACAACCTGGGGCGTTTTGGGGACCTCGTGGGCCAGCCTGGGGGCCTGGGGGGGTCCGGGGCCCTCCCTCTTGGAGCCCCCAGCGCCTCCCCGGACCGCCATGCATACCAGTGGCACCGGTTCCGGGCCTTCCTCCGGCCTACTCCGATGTATATATATATATATATATATATATGTATAAGTATACATATAAATAGATACACGTATGTCTGTACGTAGATCTGTATGTATGCATGGATGTATGTATGTATGTGTGCGTGCACGCGCACACCTTCACGTACATGCGCACTGCTTGTGTGAAGATATGTGCAATAAGTCCGCTTTGGACATCCTCGCATTGTGGCCCCTCTGGGGAACGAAAACCAACGCCTCGCCCGAGACATCCTCAACATCTGCTCCGAACGCCAAAAAAGTTGGGTGGGTAAATGTGTATGGGGTTGAAGTTCAAGGGCACAGAACCCCTGATCCGTTGGTAGAGGGAAGGAGGGATAGATGGATGTCTTTCCCTCCTGCACGATCAAGGTCTGATCGATCTTCCCAATACCTGAGCCCAAACGGCCAGGCGCAGGAGAGGTGAGGATAAGGAGTATATATGAAGGTATTACACGAGTTCTATTCACACCCCCCGTCCCGAATCCCGCCCGTGAGGGTAGGACTCGGGAACGGAGGAAAATAATCCGTCACCCTTTTACTCCGTCAATCCTCAGGTCTGCAGGCAGCTGAGCGCAAAGTCAGTACAGCCTCAGCTGCAAGGTAAGGTAAGAAGGAACACCCAGGGTCCCAATTTCTTCGCCAAGCACGCTTTGGTGCCCCCTCGGTGCGCCCCCCAAAACGCTTCGGCACTCGAAGAGGAGAAGAATGAGACACGGGTGGGCGGAGAAAGAGGATCTGAGCAAGTTAAAGCAACTTATAATCTGCCTCGCCTATGCGAGGCAGGTGTTGCCACTAGCTGCCATATCATTCTCAACGCAATGGAGTTAGGCTCTAAACAGTACGCAGTCTGAGATCGTGTTGATGAACACGATCATGTTATGAAGCGCATCTATATATATATATATATATATATCAAAACAAATGGCTGGCCAGACGAAAGGTCGTGTTGATGAACACGAAAAGTTGCATGTATATAAACTCTCTATATGGCGACACCCGTTGGCGTTGCTCCTTAGGAGGCTGCCTTGGGTCTCGCAAAATATGTGTGTATGCGTGGCCACGTGCGTTGTCTAGTGAAGTGGCCTAGAAGTAGATCATAGCCACCGCTCAAGGCGAACTTGTATTATAATGAAGTTCAAGCCTATCGAGCGGTGGGCCTCGCGGCCGACTCACTACGCGCTGCCGTTCTCGTAGAACCTGCTGCCCCACATCCTGTGGCCATCGCGCGTCACGTAGCTCGTCGTGAACGTCTCCCACGATGTCCTTGGGATCCAGTGGCGAAACCACTTGTTGTACTGGATGTCGCGGATGTATACGAACTCGTCGTTGTTGAGCGCGATGTAGATCCAGCAATTGATGTGGTAGCTCCAGCACCTGAGGCCCCAATGGCTGTCCTCTAAGTCGTCGCGCCACCATGCGGCGTAGTCTGTCGTACGCGCCCTCTTGGCGCGAGGTCTGTAGCTGTCATCGCTATCCTGCCGCTGCGCTGCAGTGCCGCGCGGCCCCGCGGGCGCGTGGTCATCCGCGCCAGAGGCGCTAGACCGTGCAGCATCGCCGGGGGCAGGGCGCGGCGGCGGCGGATGGCGCGGCTGGCGCGGCTCCATGGCATCATCAGAGTGTTGGGAGTGTGTATCATGGTCGATCGGATCGGTTCTCATCCCTGAATCAACCCCCCTCTGGTCGGTGGAACCCAAGGCAGAACCCATCAACCCGTAAGCAAGCGCAGCAAGCTTGCGCTGCGTGACTTTCTCACGGGTGCCATCCCGCCTGGGGGGGGCAATCGTGGCAAATCCGCGTGCCTGCCGCGTCTGCCCGTCGAGTCTGCCTTCGTTTAACCACCATTTCTTCCGACCAGCTTGGCCAGTCCTGATGCTGGTCTCGAGGATTTCACATGCATCTCGCATGTCCTCAACGGTCCAGGCCTTCTTGCCCACGTTAACGCGAGCGCCTGTCATTTGGTGGTGGAACTTCAAATCATTGAGAAAACGCTGAACGAGATTGGCATATGGATGGTATAGAGGTCTGTCGTCTTCAGCCTCGCCCATCAGTCTGCACTCGCGTGCAGGAGGGCGGCCAGAGTCGACCCACTTCTGATACCTCTTCCTAGCGGAATTGGTCATTCTCCTCAACGCATCTTTCTCATTGCCTGGAAATGAGCGCTTGCCCGTCATGATGACTTGCGCTCCGTCTCTCATGTACCTCGTGATGTCGTCCTGGAAGAGCGTCATCTTGATCCAGTGGGTCAGCTTCTGGAGGTATGCTAGGTCGCTCTGGACGGCTGTACTTTTACCCGTAGCACCCACGGATACAGTGTACTGCCAGCAGATGTCACAAAGGTTACCATCATTTGTAACGGTCCCTAGGGATAAGATGCGACCGCAATTCCGACATCGCGCGATATCATGCTGAATATCTTCTGGGGCTCCGTCAATCGTGAGGTGCTCACGAGATCCCCAGCGAGTTTCCCGACCACGAGCAAGACTGCGGCCGATCTGATCCGTGGCATCGCGGTTGATCTCGGCGTTGCGTCGGGAAGCGATCGATCTGCTCATTCCCTCGATCTCGATCTTAGACAATCTGTCCCCTGGCAGTCCTATGCGCTCTGTCGTGTCGTTGCCCGCATCCTCAGCATCGCCATGACATGCGTTTTCTGTACGGAGACGGCGAGCCTCCACCTGCAAGGCGGACTCGTTGTCGCCCTCCTCGCGGTTGACTCCCGTCTGTTCGGCTATGATCCGTACCATGGTTTCTTGATCAGGAGCTGCGGGTGCAATGCTGCCTGGGTCCTGGGGAATGTCCTGCTCCGCGCCTGGGCCACGTGGCGCGGCAGGTGTTTCCACCAGCTCCGTCCATACGGGGAAGCCTGGATTGCCGAATGTCTTGATGCAGTGCGTAAATAGATCACGCAACGTTTGGAGTGCGGGATGATTCTGATGAATAACATCTTTTGTGAAGTCACGGAGCTCCCCGATACTGTCCAGCAATATGTTTTCATACACTTTGGAAATCCATTGAAAGACGCCTGTAGTCGACTCCTCGATGGTCTCTGGGTCCAGGTAGTGCACCAACTTTTTGAAGAAGCGATCTGCACTGCAAATCGGTAAGTCACGTGCCCACTTGTGGGTATGCTTATAATCCAAATAGTATGTCTCTGCGTTCCATGCTTTGGATCAGAATTGAATGTCGACTTGTAAGTACGACTGTACTTTATCCACCACAAATCTGTCCACGCCTGTGTGCACCTCAATGATTTGCTTCATCTTTATCATAGGTGAGTTTACCAGAAGCTCCGACACCCAGCGGTATATGCGGTGGTCGTATGATTGTCTGGTCCACCTTGTGTATTCCTCTGGGTCGTAGTCGGGGTGGTTGAGGAAGTCCTCTGGCGGGTCAATAATATTGTCGTGGATGATCGCGTCCACGTGCTCATCTGCTTGGATCTCTGCCAATAGATCTGCTTTCATATTGTCATTTGCCGCTTTTTCTTCGGCAGCGAGTGGTATGTTTGATATATCCACAATAACGGTAACCAGAGGTTCGGCAGATTGGCCTGCCTCTTGTTGGGGTCCATCGTCCGCGGGAGCAGTATCCTCGGCAGGTGTGGCCACCAGCTCTTCGGGATCGGGTGTCCGAGGAGCGGGCCGTCTGGTCGGTGTACGTGGGATACGTGGCTTATAAATGCTCGGCATGCCGAGATATGGCAGATCACCATCTCTGTTGTGCTGAAGTATTTTGTCGCGGCATGAGGATGGGCCTTCCAGGGCAGTATTCATATGTGTCGGGTCAATGGCATATTTGTCGGCACGAATTGGTAAAGCAAAGATAACGCCCTTGAGAGGCATGCTTTTGTCATTGTACCATATGTTTACCCATCGTAAACCGTAGTTGAGGATGGGTATTTGTACCGCAAAGAACTTGTCAAAGACTCCGAAATGAATGATTGGGCCGTATATGTGGCCCTTGTTCATGAGGACCTTGGTTTTGTGATTGCCCTTGGGGTAGTGATTGTCGTAATGATAACAATTGGTAGATCCCCAATTCTCGGTGACAATGAAGTCCCCCATGCGAACATCATTAAATGTAGGCAGACGATCCCAAT